AATGACATAATTTCAAGATAGGAACCAATTTCCTTCACTTTCTGACTTAATTCTGATAAGAATTGATTCTTAAATCAATTTTTCAATTTTACCCCAATGTTACGCTTTTGTACGTCAGAACCGTGCTACTGATCCTAACGGTGTAATTTCTTCCAGTCGGTAATGTATACACTATAAGATTTTACGCCAGTAACTGACGGCGTAATTTCTTACAGTCGGTGATATATATAATATAAATTTTATAAACATGTTATGAAGCTTAGGAGGTCAGGCTGGTTTCGTAGACAACTGTGGCGTGAAAGCAAGGGTCAGCTACGTCAGAATACCAATTTTTAGCATCGCTTAACATTTCCAAGCAAACATCTGATGCTCTTTAGCACTTTAAAGGAACCTTTCAGTGGCATTTTGATGAAAATTTCTGACTGCCTGGCATTTATTACTTAGTCCATTTGAGACCGTGCCCGGTGTCACAGCGGATTTGGACCCCCCTCCCCAGATTTGGAACCCCCCTACCAAACTTTCCTTTTAAGCATCGTTTGTATCATATTTGGTGACGAATTCTATTTTCAAGCTTTTTGTCGATATTCTTTTCAATCACAACACAACGTTCCTCAATAAAGGCAAAGAAACACCAGCCATTTCGTTCCAATTCTGTCGCATTTATTATAACGAGTCGTACAGTATACGCAAGAATTAGATGCGAACCAACTACTGCATTCGAACCATTGAAATTGTTACAATAAATCTTTGCTTCTTCTGATAAGAATCAACATTGATACGAAACGTCATAACAATAGTGGAGACTACTGCGTCCAGTTACAAAAATAACTCTGTCTGATTTTCTAAAATAATAATATTAAACAGTTTCTGAACAAGAGTGAAGAAACTACTCCTACTTCAAGTCGTTCGTAAAGCCTATGATAAGTAAAAATGTTTCTACTCTGAACTATTGGAACTCTCAGCTTATTATCGGATGCAAATCAACGTTCATGTCTACGTGTTAACAAAAGTGGAGACTATTGCGTCGAACTTAATCTTATTTTCTAATTTTAACGATTATTAACTGTTGAGGGATCCAAAATAACACTTTAACAATTACGAAGACTTCTAGAGTCTGGCGATCTGCAGACATTGCAGAACCACTCGCCTTCCGGGACAATCTTAAATCCCTCGCAGCTCATCTGTAACCATTCCTCGCACAACTCGCACTGTACCATGTCGTCCCAATACTCGAGCATTGAACAATGACAAAATAAATCAGTGTCACAAGTTTGTCTCTTATTGAATCTAGCATTGTTCGACTATCGCGGAAAAGGTTCAAAAACGACCTTTCTCCAACATTTAACTAAATGCTTGCCCATTTTCCCTTTGTCAAAAGAAACATCCGACGGGTCATTTCCGGCTGCCAGTTCGTATGCATTAACGATACGCATGTTTTGAATTAAAGACATACTTTAGTACGCACTGAAACGCAAAGTATCATATATTTTTACTAGAACGTTAAGGATGATGTTTTCACTTAGTTTTGTTGGGGGGTCCAACTCCGCTAGGACACTGGCAGTCTGATCAGAAGCGTAGAATTTCGAAGTGTCGATAACCGAGCGATATTGTAGTACTATTGTAGTATGCAAAAGCTCAGAGAATTTGTCCACTGAAAAAAAAAATTAATTTTTGGAATCGCTAGACATTTCTTAACTAACATCTGATACTCTTAAGAAGTTTGAAGGAACCTTTCAGTGGCATTTTGGTGAATATTTCTAACTGCCGGGCATTTAGTCCATTTGAAACCGTGCCCGGCAGTCTGATCAGAAGCGTTGAATTTCCAAGTTGTCGACAACCGAGCGATATTATAATATGCACAAGCTCGGAGCATTTGTCCACAAAAAAAAACACAAGTAAATTTTTGGAATCGCTTGTCATTTCTTAATAAAACATTTGGTATTCTTAGGAAGGTTGAAAGAACCTTTCGGCGGAAATTGCGCGTTAATTTTTGTCTGCCGGGCATCTAGTCTATTTCAGACTGCGTATTGTTTAGGCTGGGTGGGTTGAGATGGGACACTGTGTATCTACTGTTTTCATTTTTGTAACAGAAAAATAGCATAACTTTCAAAAGAACGATAATATCGCATTCCTTCACCTTAAGAGAAAGAAACAAAAAAAAAATTTATCTAAACTCGCACAGATATTTTGTGGTCTATTGTCTCTATTGCCATAATACACTATAAAGTTCCCGCTCAAAATGTCTGAGCGCGCATTTGTTTGTCAGTTAACGTTATTGAATATCGATACATATTCAAATATCCTAATTGAAAGTTCGATCAACACTAATGAAATGTATTTTAGAGTTAATAAAAAACATATTTATGTTATTGATATAACTTTTGGAATAAATGAAAGTATATTTTCTGGTAATGAACAGCAGAAGGTGTACTTCTAGGCAAAAATATAAAACTGGAAATTCACTATCATTAACAGTTAGTTCTATGTTCATTTTTTTGGTGGGGCTGGGCAATTCGTTTAGAATGCGTGATAAAATTCAGGTTTTTTTTTTTTTACACGGAAATGAAAAAATTGCCTAATGTTCACGTGGTGCACTGACTAAGTATGTTATGATTGAACTTTGAACATCGTTTTTTATGGTACGTGATGGGATGTAAGTTGTTTCACGTGTGCGTTGTTAGTAGAGGAGCGGAAAAACGCGTTTTAACTTAAAAATTATATAAAAGTTTAACGCTAATCTTTTATATCCCGATAAATCTTAACCTTAATCAACGAGGCTCTCGCGAAGGCCACAAACCATTACAGTTATAAAATGAGCCCAAAATTTCTGGTTAATGTCACTCTTTCTGCGCAGCCCCCTGATTCTATGACATCATTTGTAAGAAAGCAATACCCAAACGCTGTGATTGGTGAAGAGATATTCAGATGCTGTGACATAATTGGTGCGAGATACAGACCCTAGTTCGGCAATCTGATTAGTGCGAGATGCTTACCCTTATGCGGCAATCTGATTGATGCGAGATATGTGGGTAGTTTCAGGTCACGGTTTCTTGACCCCAGGATTTAAAGAAAATCTGAGAGAAAAGTTACTGTAATAAAGACGAGGCATAGCGGGTTTGACGAGTTGGTCTGCTTATTTGACTTGTTGAAACTCTTTGATCACCGGATACCCAAATAACCTTTCAAAATTTTGGCCTGCACTTTTGTCCTTTTTATTTGACAGCCTACCCGAAACAGCTGAATATAAGCTACCCTCTTGGCATTTTCTTAAAATAAAAGTTTGAGCTATTGTTACTAAAAAAGAACTGAGGAATGTTTATATCTTATCAAAATTAAAAGCTAGTTTACCGAACGATTCGGTATGCTTCTTTTCAGGATAAAATTACGGCCGCGAATGCTGCGAGACGTTTCTCAACAGGACATCTCTGTCACGGTTCTAGGCCACCAGCTTAGCATGCCAATTTGTGTGTCACCTACTGCTTATCAAGCAATGGCACATCCAGACGGGGAACTGGCCACAGTCAGAGGTAAACTAACAGTTCTTACACTGAATTCCGACTAATGCGACCAGATCGGGTTTTGCTAACCCGATAAAAAATTTAAAAGTCTCTCAATTACATTGATTACGAAAAAGGCTACATCTCCTAACGTACTCTGAAATCTTCCACGCTTGAAGTGGTTCATTATAGTTGGATGGCATAGCAGGGCTAAAAATTACTGAATTTATTTATCCTTAAGACAACTTAGATTCCCATTCATTGTCGTTTGCAGAGAACGTACTACGTACATACGTACTCTTGTCACTAAG